GATGATGAACAAGAACGTTCACCAAAGAAATAAAAGTTTCAAATGAAATATAACTTTGGCCTTTGTGATTGAGTCACATTATCTCAAGTAGAGAATATGTTTTAGTTAAAAGAGAGACTGAAAGTTCAAGAATCTTTTAACTAACAGCTACATGTTAGTCTTATTTGGAAGGTAAAGTGGCCAAGCAATCCTACAAGGGCCAAAAAGGTTTGCGCAACTATTCAACTGGAACTGGTACATACTAATGTATGTGGACCAATTAGCGTTCAGACCAGAAGAGGTGATGAGTACTTCATTATATGAATGTTTACTCTGGATTTGGACAGATGAACCAAGTGCGCCATAAGTCTAAAGCTTTTGGAAATTCCAAGAGGTTTATTCTGAGGCAGAAAAGCATGTAGGTGTTCAAATCAAAAACACTTTGGTCTGACTAAAGTGTTGGCTACCTGTCTGGTAAGTTCAGGTCTTACCTGATTTAAGAGGGGATAGTTTTTGTAACTGTCAACTCTAAGAACGCGTTAGTTGAATGAAGTTGCAGTATGCAAAAATCAAACATTTCTAGACTTGGTGCAGATCATGTTCAGCTATTCATCTTTGTCAATGTTGTTCAAGGGAGATGCCTAAGAGAAGGAAATGTACCTTCTTAACTTGATTCCGTCAAAGTTTGTTGTAAAGACACCTAGAGAATTATGGAAAGGGTGCAAGCCCAGATCAAACCATATTCGGATTTAGGGTGCTACGACACACGTCCTACAACAGCAGTCACATGAGATGGAATCTTGTATGGAAGAGTGCATATCTTTTGGCTACCCTAAGAGAACTAGGGATTATTTCTTATTTAGTCTTAAGGACAAGATAATCTAAGTGAACACTCACATGATTTTCTTAAAGGAGGACTAGATAAGAAATTATAAGCTCTTAAGTTAGGTTATTCTTGATGAGATTTATCTCAGATCAAGAATTTCCAGAATCTCTAGAAGCTTCATCCACTGTTCCCTTGATTGTTCAAGAGGGGATATATATATCTCTAAGTGAACAAACAAGAGAACCATGATTGGAAATTCAACATGATAATATATAAGTGAAACTAGTAGAAATATTAGTATCACATGTAAAGGAACAATATCAAGTATAAGCGGATCCTCAAGAAATTGAAGATCCATCATTTGACCCATTTTTTGTTTTAGTTATAAATACACAAGGTCTAGTGCAGTACATTCGTAGTGGGAGAGAACCTTGTTAACTCTCAAGTTGTCTCTTGTTGAGTGATATTGATCCTACTAGTTACGATAATGCACTAGAAGATGTTGTTGATCAAGTGTTGCTCATGCTATGAACAATGAGATGAAATACTTGTATTTCAACTCTGTTCGGTCCTAGTAAAGACACCAAGAGGGGTAAAACCCACAAGGTGCATGTGGACATAAAAGGCAAAGAGAGGGTGGACAGAAAGGTGAAAACCTTCAAAGCTAGCTTGGAGGCATTTTTTGCCAGACGCCATGCTCGAGTCTATCCAGATTCTCTTAGTTGCTATAAGTCTCAATTATGAGATTTCATTTTGGGAGTTGGATGTCAGGATATCTACATACAACAACCAAAAGGGTTTATAGCAAATGAGTAGGAACACACGGTATGCAAGTTGTTAAAGTCTATTTCATAGACTTAAGCAAGCATCCAGGTCTTGAAACATCAGTTTTGATCAGGTTATCAAAATTTTGATTTTGAGAGAACCTTGATGAATGATGTGTATTTGTATGTAAAGGATACAACAGAAGACAGTAGCTTTTCTGGTACTTTATGTAGATGATATGCTCCTTATTAGAAATAATGTGGAGGTAATATCAAGCATAAAGAGTTGGCTAAGTTAGTGTTTTGGTATGGAAGTACTGGGGAAGCCAATTATATTCTTGGTATAAAACTCTTATGAGACCGGAAGAATAAGTTGTTGGCATCACCTCAGGCTACTTACATTGACAAAACCCAAAATTCAACATGAGAATTCTAAGAAAAGAATTATAATTCTCAGATGTGGAATTCATCTTCCTAAGGAGTGACCAAAGACTTCTAAGAAGGATGAATGCATGAGCAAGATATCTTATGCTTTGGCAAAGGTAGACTCACGCATATCATGTTGGGCGTTAAACCAGACATCTGTCACGTAGTGGGAGTAGTGAGATAGTACCATTTTGAACCTAGAGGAATACTAGATTATTGTTAAGCATGTACTCAAGTATCTTTGGAGAACGAGAGATTATATACTGGTATATTCTAGTGGGAGTCTTGAAAAGCTGAGTTTTCAAAAATTCAGTTATTTCAAGTGGATATTGACTCAAGAAAATCAACCTCGAGCTATGAGTTTTTCACTAAACTCAGATAGCATTAGAGGTGGATCTTGCAGACCCAGTTACTAAGAGTTTGCCTGAACTTGTGTTCGAGAGGCATGTTACTTCTTTGGGTCTTAGGAGGATCCCAGACTTGCATTAAGCAAGTGGGAGTTATTGGTTTTATTGTGCTCTTGGAATAAGACGATGAAACAATAAAATCATTTTCTGAATTTCATAAATAAGGTTTTATTTATTTATTTTGCGCACTATTTACAAACATAAAGGTCCGGATCAAATTGTGAAGTATATGATCATATGGATACGTTCATGGAGGACATGATCATAGGTTCTCACAATTGATGAATGGAGTCACAGCCGTTAAATAAAGTTGGGCACTTTATTCAGGCTGCAATATTTTATGAAATGATTTTGTCCGAATCATTGTAAAATATTGGTGTGAATTAACATTCACATTGAAAGGATCAAGGAGAGATTTGATTAAGGTTGTTTTTCTGTCATAAGGTATCAAATCTCTAGTTAACTATAGTTATGTGATTGCTCTTAATCCTGAGTTTATTATAAATAGGTAATCAAATAGTTTTCATTCTTTGATTTACCAACGGGTGAGGTTCGATCTATTGACGGCCAATAACTCGGTATTTTGGGAGTGAGATTATTTGATTATCGTTATTTATGAGATAAACAACATGGAATTTGTAGGATATGTCCCCTTGATATGTTTTGGTACTTGGATATTAAAGACACTGGCCAGTGCATGTAATCCATTAGAGAAACTATCATAGTCAAGGGAATAAATAATTGATTGAGTTACAGAAAACTTGTCAATCAATTATAGACATTCTACAAAGGGGCGATGCATATTCATGTTATAAAGGTCATTAATCTTGGAGTTCACGTTCGGGCTTTTAGTGGAGTAGCGCCGAATTAGATAATCTTTCAAAGATTATCAGGAGCCTTGATCAATGACAAATGGTAGGTCCCCAGGCTAGCTCGAGACAAGGGATGGGGTATATTATCAGATGATGATAGCTTATGGGCTACATGGCCTTGGGTTTACGAACTCAAGTTTGTATCTTAAAGAGCAAGTGGGAGATTGTTGGATATATGCTCTTTTGGTCACTAAAGTCCTATTGGGCTTCAGTGACACTTGAGCCCATGAGGCTTAGGGTTGAGTTATGTCTAAGACCTAAGCTTATATATTCATAGTTTTCTCCTCTTGTGCCTCCAAGGTGATCAGATCATCAGAAACAAACCTAAGAGGCAGACGTTCATCATCTGAACGGTTGCCCACACAACCATCTCATCCTCCTCGAGAGATAGTCTGGAAGATCTACCACAGTCTAGCTTCAAGGAGGTTGTTCGTGCTGCGGCGCTAAGGTGAGCTGTTCGTGAAGAGGAATCCTACAAGGGAAGATTCTACACGACACCTGCGCACCGAGAGGTAATTGTGTAACAAGGATGATTCGGTAAGCATACCAATGTACTAGGTCATAAACCGCTTCCGCATAAATCTAAGATTTCCTTATTAAATACAAAAGACGATGTATATTATTTGTATATATGATATTATGTAAATTTATAAGTTCCAAAAATATAAATTAAGTTCGTGAAATGGGAAGTCTTTGCTCGTGTAAAAGTTAACACCTAGAAAATGTTTTTTTTTCGACGGAAAAATTCCGTCGAAAATGATGTTTTTGACGGAAATGAAGCCGTCGAAAATATCTTCGTGGGTAACAATTTTTTCGACATAATTACAGATTCCGTCGAAAAATTTCACGAAAATTTCGACGAAATAATTTATGTGGAAAGTTTCAACGAAAAAATAATTCCGTCGAAAATCTTCGACGGAAAATGAACGAAATTCCGTCAAAAAATCTTGTCTCAATTTTCGACGGAAATTGAAAAAAATTCCATCGAAAAATCTTGTAATGATTTTCGAGGGAAAACAAATTCCGTCGAAATTTTTCGACGGAAAATGAATGAAATTCCGTCGAAAAATCTTGTAATGACTTTCGATGGAAAACAAATTCCGTCAAATTTTTTGACGAAAATGAATGAAATTCCGTCGAAAAATCTTGTAATGATTTTCGACGGAAAACTAATTCCGTCGAAAAATCAGTCTCAATTTTCGACGAAATTGCTTTTTCATTTGTATCTCTACAAAATTAATATCATTTTATGTTTCGCACCTGATAAACAAATATAATGAAAGTAACATATCAAAATTATTGGATCTTACTATAATTTATGTGTACAAAAGTCCCTGCCATATACAAATCAAAAAAGACTTATATATATAAATGTAAGACATATACATAAACAAAAGTCCCTGTCATATACTAATTCAAAGAGTCCTATATGAATAAATGTCCAAGACATACTAATCAAAAGAGACATACATATACAAAAGTAGCTATCATATACTAATCAAAAGAGTGCTATATATATAAATGTCCAAGACATATGCTAATGAAAAGTGACATACATATACAAAAGTCCCTGTCATATACTAATCAAAAATGTCATATATCTATAAATGTGCAAGACATATGCTAATCAAAAAGGACATACATATACAAAAGTCCCTATCTATCCTAATCAAAAGAGTCTATGTACAATAGCCCATGTCATATACATCCAACAAAGATACAAAAGTCATGCTGGTGGATGACCTGCATGATCATAGTCATCACCTACGTCCTGAGACGGGGGCTGAGTCTCGTCGTCATCCTCAGTATCTAAAAATGCCTCAGGAAGCCTTCGCAAAAGCTTCTCCATTGTGTCCATTCGCCTCTGCATCATAACCATGAGACTATCCTGTTGCTGAGCCTTTTTCTCCTGCTGTGCAGCCTTCTCTTGTTGTTGTGCAACCCTCTCCTCTTGCTGTGCAGCCCTCTCCTCTTGCTGTGCAACTATACCCTGCAACTGCATAATCAATGTGCGCATCTTGTCATGCTGTTGCTGGGACACTCCAAGTGGTAGCCTATTAGAGAGTCGAGATTTCTTATATGCTCCTCCCAGTGTACCTAAACCGTATAACCGTCCTTTAAGGTTAACCCCACCAGATGCCTGCACGATCAAATCATTATCCGATGCAACACTCCTAGCATCCTCTCCTGGAATGACTTGATTGTCTCTCTCTTCCCTAAGTCTCGTAAAGCCATCCTAAAATTTACATAGAAAGTATTCATGTGTTAAAGTAAGGTGCACTAAAACTCATCAGCTTTCAAAAGTAAACATTTTGGTGTAACAATAGATATTACTCACAGCTGTTGCCTTTGCCTTGTCATTGCACCACTTGTCACGATCATCTTTAGATGTGTGTGTATGCTTGAACACAGCCCAACCCAGGGTAGACGGATATGTGACCCCATCTTCCTGCTGCGTATATATGTACATAAAACAATCAGAACATAATACGCTAAGTATAAAAAATAGCTTACCATTTTACATATCTACATGCATATGAGAAATTACTATTATTCTTACCAACCGCCTTGCATGCTCATGAAATGGAATTGAACCTCCAGAATGTGTAGGTCCGTCAAATTTGGACCTGTTCCTCTTATTTGCTTCAGCCATTTTCTTCCATTTTTCATTAGACCAGTGAACCTTCAAACCATCAAGAACATCTTGTCTCATCCAAGACGTATCGCCCTTTCCTTTTCTTATCAAATTCAAGTGATTTCTGATTATGTCAGTGGCTTTGGTCTTGTATGCTTTATGAAAAAGATATTGGTCATCCGGCAAGTATTTATATTTTTCCTACAATGATGAAACAAGACAATTTAGAAAAAATATCAACATTAGCTTCAAAAACCTTGAATCATACATAAATATTAATATGGTCAGATTTGAAGGGCAACATTACCATCAATGAGTTAAACCAGTTCTCCTTGACATTGGTTGGAACTGCCTTATATGTAGGGTATGGACCGTCATAGTTGCGCTTGATTATACCCCATATTTTGCGCACTACATCACATGGTTCAAAGCTGAAATAGATTGTAATTTGATTATATTCATCAATGCATTTAAATTATTGTCAACACTTATATGAAGATGTATTGAAAAAATATCACAACTACCATTAACATTTCTTGTACTTACTTGCTCCCATCAACGGTCGGTCGTACCCATATACGATTGTCCACAGGATCTTTCTCCCCCCATTGTGGAACAAGATCCTGCATGACAGGCGGAGGTGGTCCATAATATGGAGCCTCTGGTGGGGACGAAGCGTGATCCTGTTTAACAAAAAACAAGAGATAAAGACAAAATCTTTTCCAATAATCAAATGTGAACATAAATTTTTTGGAATAAAAAATGTAGAATATGTGCATAATTAGTCGGATAACCTCATTTGCTTCTTCAGTAGAAGCTACAAACGTCTCCTGCGTCTCCAGGACTGCCGATGGTTGTGATTGTGCATCTGGTGATGTTGTTTGCATACGTGAAGAGAATGACGTGTGGTCCTGCCCTCGACGTTTAATGGCCCCTCGTACATATGTACGTAGAGAAGTATTATCTTTACCTCCACCCCTACCATGTGTACTGTCAAATGTCTTCATCTGCAATAAGAAACATTCATGATTGTTATATCAGTTTACCATTACAATCTCCATAAGAATTGATCATTTGTGAAAATGTAACAAATATTAGTTTACCATTACAATCTCCATAATATGTCATCAAAATTAACAATACATCCAAAGATCAGTGTTTCTCAAGTACCAAATATTACAAAATTACAACTACATTGACATATCACAAGAAATATGACCACAAACAAACATAATATGTCATTATCCTACACAGTTCTCTAATGATTGTTTATAATTGGCATTTCATTCTGATTCCTCATTTTGAACTAGGTCTTCTTCTTCTTCTTCAGTCTCCTCAGTTTCATAATCGTCGTGTTCTGCTTCAGATGATGACAAGAATTGTGGTTCCTCAATGTCTGTGTCATCACTATCAATGCTTTGAGCATGGATTGTCTCTAATTCAGCTGTAGTGTCAACAAGGATCTGATGGATGTCATCATCAGCAATGTGTATAGGAACCTCCACAACATAATCATCTTGGTAAGCATTGTTTCTAATTCAACGATAAACGAATTCTGTCGAAAATTCCGTCAGTAATTATCACGGAATTTTTTTCCGTCGAAAATAATGACTTTTCTAGCCTTATAAGGAAATCAATTACATCTAACCCTCGTTTATTCCTTGGTCATTCCCTTCCTATTTGTTCTATTTTTTAAAAGGTTATTAGTAATTAATATTCTCACGTCTTTTGGGTGCTGTAGTCAAGTAGACTGCATTCTCACGGTTTATCCCTTCTACCAAACAATATCTAAATTCAATCTAAATTCGGTCGATCCCTAAGAATATATGGTGAAATCTATTAATTTGAAACAGTTTGCTTGTATTTTATAACTACATTGTAAATTCATGTTTGTTACAAGCGTACAAGGTAACAATAACCAATCTGATAAGGCATATCATATATGTATGGACACATATGTATGTTAATAATAACTAGATACAGCTGTAAATAGGTTGGTATGAGCTTTCCGAAATAAGTCAAGTTTATATTAAATATTTTGAGTATGGTATGACCTGTTAAATTGATAAAGGTTAAATTATAATATTAATCTCAATATTATTAAAACTGGCCCGGTCATTGACCCGGTCGAGATACCGGGTCACTGGATCACTGGTTCAACCAGTGGGTCACTGGTTCAACCGCATGACCCGGTAATTATATGTAATTTTATAATTTATATTAAAAAATTATAAACATACTCAAATATCTAAAAAAATGATAAAAATTTCAAATATTTTAATACAAAAAATAGTAAATCACATATTATTATCAAATAAAAAATCAAACAAAATTATAATGATCGTGATACGGGGCTTTAAGTTCAGAAAATAACATCTCTAACTATAAATTAATTCAAAATTTTATGTATAATACATAATTGAGATAATACTAGTGTTGTAGGTACATAACTTATGTAAGTCAATAAGCAAAAAAATATTCAAATATGGCTATTATGATTTTTTTTTGAAAAAATCAAAATATGGATTTTTTTTTGAAAAAAACAAAATTTTGAATTTTTTTTTGGACCGGATCGGGTCACCGGTTAACCGACCGGGTAACCGATTTTTATGAAAACCGGCCGGGTCGGACCGGGTCACACCGGTTCTGATGCATGACCGATCCGTTACTTCAACCGAACTTATTATATGACTGATTTATCAGTTACCAAATCGACCCAGCCGAGTCAGTCCGGTTTTAATAACTATAATTAATCTATTCTGTTTTTCCAAAATAAAGGGCTTGTTCAACAGGCTTATTAGACCTCTACTATCGCTATAGCACTGTCTTTAATATCTAATTAAACACTCATATCAAAGGTATGCAATGTTTAGAAAAGTAAGAAACGAAAATTATTTAGGAGTAGATTCTCTTATGCTAAAATTTTATCATATTATGTGAAATTTTTGTGTTTATTTTTCTCTTCGCATGCATTAAATAAATTAGATTTAATTATCATTAATAAAAAAAGAAATATACACAAAAAAAATTCACATGTCAATATATATAATTGGATGTTTTCTTTAGAACGATGTGACATGCTTTTCGTTGGTGGATGTGTAAGTGATTCATATCACTTTGTCAAAATTATAGTTATTCATTTCTGACTTTGTTGGGTTACTCATCTCCTAAATGTTACTCTAAGATATTTAATCAATATATATTAATAGTTTAATACAAATTAATATAAAACAGATGAATAAAATTGTCAAACTCCAAAGTTGTTTACTAATATTCATTAGAAACCTATCTGATATTAACTTAGTTGAAATTTATTTTTAGACAAGCTAATAATTATTAATAACATTATAATTTTACATTGATTTGAAAAACTTGTTTTGCTTAAATAAAAATATTTTAATTTACTAAAATCGTCTATGTACTTTATAAATGTTATAAATTGGTATTTTAATTTACTATTGTTAACTGTAAATTATTTAAAACCATCGGAATTTCAGTAAATAAAGTTTACATCAATGAGATGCCTTTAAAAATATACGGAGACATATTATATATATATATATATATATATATATATATATATATATATATATATATATATATATATATATATATAGAAAATGATTTGTTTACAAATTTTTATAAATTACACTATGTGTTCCCGAAAGTATATAGTGTAAACTAATATACTTCTGAAAGTACATATTGTAATTTGTAAATAAAAAATTTGTAAATGTAATTCTCTCCTCTCCTCTCTATCTATATATATATATATATATATATATATATATATAAATTATTGGGCGTGCAATCTGGAACTGTTGAGGCATTTCTATGTACATAATGGATTACCATATATCTCTTCAGAATAATTTTCAATAGAACATGATCGATATATTGACTAACACATTTGCGGAGACTACCATCGATCCTCACAAACTAATTCAGATATTATTTAACTCCATTACCAATAACTGAAGAAAATTTATTGTTTAATACATCTGATGGGATTCATTTGATGTTGTATTTACTATTTTATATTATCATAATTCTCAATGCAACGAAACGTTTTGATTAATTGTTTTTAGATACCAACCGAAATTCTAACAGTTCCGATTAATCTAATTTTAGTTTGGATTAATCTAATTTTGGGTTTGAGCATTTTCATCCTCTTCAAAAGATATAACTCTTATAGGAGTTGAATCCACTATCCTTTGGGTAGCTTTTGAAATCATATATAACATTAACTGTTTTCTTATGATTTTCGTGAAATTTATATAGTGGATTATCATTTGATGTTATCAAATTCGAGCTGCTCATCAACTGAGTCAGGGTACTAGGTCAATAGATTATTGGTTCAATTAACGAATCGCTGGTTCAATCGGTATAATTGAATTTATATAAAAATATATAACTAGAATTAATATGATAATCAAAGTGATATGACTTAGTAGTTTAGTATTTTACTTATCTTCTTTTAGGTGCCAAGTTCAAATCTTAAAAGTCTAATTGTGGTGAAATACTTTGCCACCATTTTCAAGAATCGGTTCAACCAAAAAATCAATAACAAGTTTGCATCGATTGAACCCTATGTTGGGATGATGGATTAGGCTCCAAATTGGATCCTTGAAACTTATTAACAAGTAAATGTGGCAATTCAGGTTAACACAGCATGACATGAATTTAATATGAAAAGTGCACTAACTGACCTCAAATTGTGTCACTTATTATGTGGATTGACACAATATGAATAACTTGTCAAATTCAAAATGTGTTGCTTATTATGCAGGTTGACATAACATAATAAGACATAAATAATCTATATAATTAATGTTGTTTTCACTAATGTAGTGTTGACACATCATAAATGATCTATAAGAATATTAACGCATGTCAATTTCGTATTTGCGGATTGACAGGAAACACAACACATATTTTTTTGTCTTAATTTTTGCTAACACGAAAACAACACTATTTAAAAAAAGATCGATCTGAAATCAAATTTCTCGTGTTGTATCAAAGGTTGTGTTGAAAATTGGCACCCCTTCTTACAAGCCACATCTCTCTTTTTATTTTTTTGGATACATGAAGAAGGACTATAACACACATCACCTAACATAATTACTCACATCTTTCATCACTAGGCTAACCCCAGTGACTTAACAAGCCACATTTCTTGATATTTATACTAATAAAATTAATTTTGAAATATTATCAATATAAAAAGATTATATAATTATCTAATAAATTTTAATTAAATAATTTTTTGAGTTTGATATCCCATATAATTATTAATATAATCAAGTTTATTAAGTTAAGTATTAAAATAGTATTTAATGATGGGATAAAAATTTATAATAATAATAATAATATATCAAAATAAGATTCTATTAATTGATTAATATAAATTAAAAGACCAATTATGATGTGTTTACATATTAGTTAATTAATTGGTTTCTCCAATCATTTCCATCCATATTTATGAAATAAGTTATTAAAAAAAAGATGTTTCATAACGCAAGTAACATTATTGTAAATCATAAGAAAATTTGCAATTTGCATGAAACAATATGATTATATAAAGAGAAAAGGAAAGGTATTTGTTTAGGCAGAGAAAAGATCCAAAGGGATTGACCGTACAAAAAGAGGACAGTGGTGTTACTGGTGTATGCAGAATCCACGACTCCATGGGTGCACAAGGCTGAAGCAGAACCCCACCCAGTGGTCGGCGATGAAGGTGGTTGACCCGACAAAAGCTGCACCACTTTCACACATCACTTATCACACATGCTTCCTTTTGAGCATGTCTGGGTGATTAAAATCTCCACAGGTAAAATTCGGAGTCTACAGCCATAAATCTTAAGTAATTACAAAAATATAATTCATTTAATTACATTTAATACATACATTTTTTATTTTTAATGTCACATGAATTTATTTATTTTGAATTTTAGTAAGAAAGTATACATTACATGAATGTAAAAAATTCACTCCTATCATAAGTTGATGAAAGACTTGAGATTCGATTATAACTTAAACCGGATTTTTAGTATAGCGAAAAGTTAGAACAAACAAACAAACACTAAGGGGGCATTTGATATAAGAGATATTTTTTTTT